GTCTTAGAATTTTGAAAGTTTGAAATCAGAATTCAATAACACATTCTTTTTCAATTAATAGTTCAAAGCTCATTAAGTAATTCTAACAGAAAGCTGCCAATTCTAATGAGATGAGAAGGTTCTTTAAAGCTCACTTTACCTTCCTTAAAATGGAAACCTCTTTTTACCATCAGCTATGTTTATTGAGTGTCAATCTAATTACTAATTTTTGCCAAAATGTTTTCTTTGAAATACAAGAACCATGCTTCCAGCTTAGATGCAATCTACCTTCTATAATGGGTTATACAAGGATATTACAGCATCTCTGGTAAAATTATGACCCAGGATTCATTTTACATTTCAGTTATACAGAAGTCTTGAAAACAATAAAAAATTTTAACTGGAAGAAAGTTCTTAATTTTAAGAGCTGGTCAAGAGAATATATGCCAAAACCTTGAGCAGGGGTCAACTTCACTTCCCTGAACCCATGCCTCTAGGAATAGGCAGTCTGGTGTGGTGAGGGTAAGTACTGAGTTGGTAGTAAGGAGGTCTTGCTTCAGACACCACTGCCACTAGTCTAATGAATTCTGACAAGTCAGCCCCTCCGATTTTCAGTTTCACTCTAAAGGGATTGAATAATAAAAGATTTAAGGTTCCAGAAGTGCTGAAATGATTTCCACCCTGTATGATTTTCATGTTTACCCTTCTTTTTCTGAGAGTTTTGTTGAGAACGAAATGAGGATATATATGAAAGCACTTTATACATTTTTATACAAATACAAGTTTCTGTTACTGTTTGTAGATTTTCTTCATTATACAAAGAAAGTATGGAAACTGTTCTGAGATGCAGTATAATATGCTCACTACATGGTGAGGCATTTATATGGTCTATAACCTATAATTTAAACTAAAATGTTAAAATTACAATTTTATTTCTTATAAAAATTACTCAGGGAAGATGCTATAGTTTTAATTTTAATAGGATTAGCTGATTTATTATTCTGTAATTAAGAATTTAGAGTTAAAACCTAATGAACAGTTCCTAAAGTGTCTTATAAGAGTTGTGTCCAGCTTTTCTCCTCTCTAACACACCCCTCACACAGACATCAGCTGTATTTTTTAAAAACAAATTCTATCATCTCTTTCATACTCATAACTTGGACAACTCTATTTTATCTAGAGAATAAAATGTGAATTCCTCAGTATGGCACAATCTGACCCCAGTCTACCTTTGCCCTAAACACATCCATCTCACCATTTCCAGCTAAACCAAGACTCAAACCATTCCCTAGCCATGTCAAGCTCTAAGTGTTGTTAAAGAAAAAAAAAATTATTCAATGATATTTGTTAAAACATGGTAAGGAACACTTTATTCAGGGCATTGCAAGAGATATAGAGACCACTGCAATATGATCTTGCAATGGGGGAAGGATTGGGCTGGACTCTGAATACAGCACTGGCAAGTGGAAAGGAGCTTGGAAGTCAGGAGAAAAGGATGAATCAAAAATGGCTCCCCTAAACAAATGGGTAAATGTGGTGTGGAGTGCTGGATTAGGAACACTTGATGTGTGATAGGGGAAGTGGAAGTGTAAGAAAGGGTTTTTTGGGGGCAGGGAATCATGAGTTCTGTTTGGACATATAAAATCTGAGAAATCTCTTAGCTATTCTATCCCTCTTTATTCCTGTGACACTTTGTCTAGAGTCAGCTCTCTATACCTGTTGGTTCCACATCCATGGATTCAACCAACAGCTGATGAAAAACAATGGGAAAAATTCTTCAAAGTTCCAAAAAGCAAAATTTGAATTTGCCACATGCACAGTACTATGTTGAATCCACCCAAATGAACTGTTGTGTAAGCACTGTATTATGTATTATAAGTAATCTAGAGAGGATATACATAGATTATATGCAAATACTACTCCATTTTATATCAGGGACTTAAGCATCTTGAAGTTTTTTTTATCTGTGGGGGGTCCTGAAACCAATCCCACACAGATCCTGAGGGATGACAGTACTGTTATTTCAAAATTTATCACACTCTGACTTAACTTGCTGCATACTCATTTGTCTCCCCAACCAGACTGTAGGCTCCTTGAAGGGAGTGATTGCAATATTTATTTCATATCCTAAGGAGAGAGCCTTTAACAAAGTAGTCACTTAAAATGATTTTAGAATGAAGACAGTATTCTAGAAACTCTGAGGCATACAAACCACCGAAATAAGCAATGCTTACTTTTCTAGCAGTCTCCATTACCTAGAACTCATCTTGAATAAGGTCAATAGAAGTTATAGCAGAAAATAAACACATTTCAGAGTCTAGCACTGCAGAATGTAGAACTACTCATACGTAATATATGTAAAATCAACCCCTGCTCTTAAGACTCCTTGAGTGAGTGCTAGTGGGCCCATACTTCCTAGCCCTGTGTAAATAGCTTTTCCCTATACTACACAAAGCCAAAAATCTATAGATATATTTCCAAATTTCAAATAACTTTTCAGTAAGATTTTATTTTTTAACACTCTATATTATTTCTGCAGTCCTGTATTTCAGATTCTAATAGATTATTTGTACAATCAAGAACACTTGATTATTTATTCACTTTTAAAATTGATCTGAACATTAAGCAGAACCATAGAATTTTTGAGACGGAAATTCACCAAATCCAGAGCTCTCATTTACCTATAGAAATAAAAAAAAAACCAAGGCCTGAAGGAATTGCTCAAGATTCTACATTTAGAAGTGGAGCTAGGTCTTGAAAATAGTTCATCTTTTCTGCAAAGACTGGCTTCTTAATGAATAAAATGGATTAATCTGGCCATTTTGCAATGAACTACAGTACATATTCTGCTTTTATAACTTTTCTACACAGTGATATCTCAATATATTTTCTAGGAAGGATATGCCTTAAAATGAGGTGAGGGATATCAGTAACCAAAACAAAATCAAGTGAAGCAGTCTCATGTTTCATATGATTTAATGGTAATGCTTCTGAGATAGTGTGCACATGGATGAACATGCATGATAAAAATATTCCACATATGGCCTATATGGCCAGGGAAGCTGAAAGGAAACGAAGTCAATCCTATGCATGACTGTGAAGTCTGTAAGGCTTGCCTTTATCATATCTAGCTTTCCCTTTATTCTTTATGTCTCATTGATAATCCTTCTTCCCATTTCAAAGGGCTTCACCTATCTGTCCTCTCTGCTCTTTTCCTTTGCAGAAAATGAAAGAATTCTATATCTATTATCACACCTTCTTGGCTAAAAGACATAAGACAATATTTAAACAAATTTTAACCAACACATTAACTCAACTGGACATTTACGTTCCAAGCCTTTAATCCCAAAATGTGAAATGAAAGGTTTGTTCCCAGAAGAATTTTAGACCTCAGCAGAAAGGCGGTAGGGATGGAGTGCTGGAGAAAGGTTCCCTCCCTCCTAGTCATTAAAAGGACAAAGTCTGAAGGTAAACCAGATATCTATTTACGGTGCACAGAATAAGAGCCTAAAGGGGTAGCATATGGTACAACCTCCAATGAAAATAACAATGACCAACATAATTGCTCCAACTTCTGGCAGATTTCTAGAACACTAGAAAGTAAAAATTTCTAAGGTTTGAGATAATCATTAATTACTATAGTGGTTTGAAGTTAGAATTCAAAGTATTTTCAAAGCTAGCTTACACATATTCACCATGTTTACAATATAAATGTTATATTCATATAGCACCTTATGCTTATAAAGTGTCTTCATATATGTTATGTCATTTGAACTTCAATAATAAACATCATTTCCAGTTTTCAAATGAAGAGACTAAGGTTTGCAGGTAATAAGGATAATAAAAGGCACAGCGAGGACCAGAACATGAGAGTTCTGAATCCAAGTATTTTCTCACAGTAAAATGTAGCCTATACAGACAATATTTTAAAAATTTGCACATGTAAATTCCATATACTTTCACATTAGAAAAGTGATATTGTCCCCAAATTTCTAAGTAGATTATGTCGATCTTTTCAAACTCAAGTTTCTTCTTACTACAATCTCTGTCAAAGATAACTGTTTTGTTATTTTCAGCTGTCTCAGCTTTCTAAAAGAATCAGTATAGAAAAAATACTGTCAAAAACATATAGCTAACAAACAGAAAAAGTCATCTTTCAATAACAAAAATAAACATTTCTCACTTAGATGCTTTTTCTTTGATATCCTTTGAAAACCTTATTCAAATTCATTTAAAACGCCAGCCTTTCACCTCAGTGATTAATGTAAATTTCTGTAATGAGCTTCTTTGCATATTTTATTAATTTGGCGACTTTCAAGGGATGTGTTACTACTGCAGGTTGCATCCTATTTCTGCATGCATTTTGCCTTGGCTTTCCTAGAAATGGTTCTTCTATCCAACTGGGAAAATGAATCAGATTTAATATGATACATGTTTAAAACTCACATTTTGCCTTTCTTGATAGTGAGATGTGACCTTGTTAGTATCCCAGGCTGGTGAAGTAGAAGTAGAAATATATACTTACAGAGCTTATATACTCTTTTATGTTATTTTCATTCTAAGTTTAACTGATTTTTATTTTTATTTATTTATTTATTTATTTATTTTTTAAAAGATGACCGGTAAGGGGATCTTAACCCTTGACTTGGTGTTGTCAGCACCATGCTCAGCCATTGAGCGAACCAGCCATCCCTATATGGGATCCGAACCCGGGGCCTTGGTGTTATCAGCACCGCACTCTCCCGAGTGAGCCACGGGCCGGCCCACCACTTTTAAATGATCTGTTCAATAGAACATAGTTTCAAAGTATCTACTGTTAAATTTTACCTAGCTCCAAATTTACTTTTGAAATAACTTTGGTGATTTTAAGAAAAAAGAGCTGCTAGGATAGAATTCTTCAAATGTGAAAACTGACAACTACAATGCCATTAGCTTTATTTCTGAAGGGAAATAAGTGAGATTCATTAAAAAAAGAGCATCTGTACACTTGAAAGAATAGTCAAAGTAAGAAAGGGGCTCACCGGTTTGAGAGAAACCAAACTGATGTAGAATCTCATCAGCAGTCAGCATGTTTGGCTGTTTTAACTTAGACTGTTGTGAGGAGGCTGGTGGTGGCGAAGTGAGTGAGAGATTTTTGTTGACCTGTAATAGGAAAGGCAAATCAGAAACTATAGCGTAATTTCCTGGGTTACTGATGCAAAAACGGGATGAGAAATATTTGCTTACTACATAAACTTGGACACATGGTAGGTCAAAAGGAGTGGCAATGATTTATATGGATAGTTTTTAAAGTTCACAAAACAGAATAGTTTTTAATCAAGAAAGGAATACAGTGGTATAAAAACATAAATATATGAAAGTAAATCAGCCTTACTAAAGTTTGCTTATCATGGAACTGACATTATTAATAACTTAAAATAGAGTGGTCCTAAGTTATGCAAAGAAATGCAAAAAATAAAAGTGATTTGACGTTTATTTCAATTAAGGAAGAGTTAAAATGTTTCACACCCACATTTCTCTAGCATTTTAGTGAAATAGCAGACTACACAGAAAACACCTGTACTACTCATGTTTATACACATCATGGTGACACAGATAACACAGCTGTAACCTAACTTGCCATGTGAAATAGTTTCCACTGCATCAAAAAACCTTATTAAGACACTGTTTAAAAACAGCACTAAAATAATGATTAAGCAAAATTTCTGTAAGTAAACACAATGTTCTACAATACATAAAACCTATGAGGATTGTCTGAGTACTATGGTCTCACAGAAATGAAATGCATAATGAGTACCTTTTAACTATAGCTGTTGTAGGAAAATAAAGAACAGTTCACTAAAAAAGTTTAAAATGTGTTTTAACAAATTCGTCTTGTAAATTAGAAAAAAATCTAGTTTTTCATTCATTAATACATCATTCATTATATCTTCATTATTTTGTTATCACTTTCAAGAATCATGATCAAATATGATCTATTTTTTAAAAATGGAAACGGTCTAATTTTCTAACTTACTGCAAAATGTAAACCATGAATTACACCAAAATAAATAAATGATAATTTATGGTATATAAATATTAGTATGTGAAACAGCTCCTTTGCTGTTTTTTAAAAAATCAAAACCACACAAAAGACTTCCACTGTATCAGTATTCAAAAATTTCCTTTTGATGTTCTGTATAAGTACTGGGTGTGGTTACATGCCCTTTATCTGACTCATTATTTACATGTTTGTAAATGCTTCTTTTCTTTCAAACAGTGATAGTAAACGGTATGGTATATCTTAGATTAAGTTTTTCTCTTGTAGCAAAGAGCTGTAGCAGATTTGGTTAAAGTTGTTAATTGAGACCACTTACTAATATAGTTTTAAAATACCTAAAATGTTATGATGCCATCTTATAAAAGACAAAAATACTTCTCAAAGTCATTGGAAGGGGTCAAATACCACATCAGTGCTAAAATATTACCCAATTTTAAAAATTCTATAAAGATCCATTATTAAACATTGACCAAAATTAATGTTGACTATTAACACAATACCTACAATAACAATTAAATCACTCAATGTTTTTGAGTTTCATTTTCCATCTTTAAATGGAGATAACAAAAATAATATCTATGCTTCAGTGGGAATGTGTCAGCGGAGCAATAAAGATTAACTGGTATTACAGAGTGCTATTCACATGTTAACCATAAAGCACTAAATAACATATTAAATAAGAAATAGATTAAATAGAGTATATTGGCAAAGGCAAACCATAAAGTGCTGTACAGATAAATGCTACGTAAATATTAGTACTTATTATTAACATCACTAGAAATAAGGATAATTAGGTATACTTAATGTAGTAGGATGATGTAGTAAATAATGGAAGTACTATATACAAAAGGACATATTTATCACTCAACTATTTAATTCACTTCTTTATAGAATCATTTCTCAATTTTACTTCTGTGTTCTTGAAAATTTTTATACTATACGTTAAACAATGTGTTTTAAAATCTGGTGCAAAGAAACAGGCGTAATGGATATACATCCATATATATATGGACAGATGCATACAATATGCAAAATTTTTATAGTCTTGTTCTTCAGAAACTTACTTGTGCTAAACAAAAAAGAATTCCAGAAAAGCTAGAATAGGATGCTTAAATGCTTCTGCTCAAACAGAAAGACTTGTCAACCCTTTTTAAGTAAAATATTGTTTTTTAAAAAAAACTATAATCTATAATTACATGTTCTTTCTAAGCATTTTTATAACTCTGTTCTTTCCTGACATTTTAGAGACTATTCAAATGCCCAGAAAGGGATGAGTAGCAACATAACAGAGCAGGTAACTCAATTTCTAAGGTTTGGGATAATAGTTAATTATTATTTTTATTATTAGTGATTTGCAATTAGAACTCAAAGCATTTTCAAAGCTAGCTTACACATATTTACCAGTTCATTTAGAGGAAGAAAAATAATAATAACCATTAAATAAAGTGAAGCAATATCTATTTTTGAAATATATGCTGTGGAAAAGAATTGCTTAATCATTTTACAACAGAAAGGTTGGCTAAGATAGTCTACCCTACACCAATCTACCCTCTTTTCACAACACACTTTTCTGCTTGCTTCATGCAAAAACCACAGTCTGCCAAAGTCAGTTTAACACCTCCATATTGGAGAAAGCTAAAAGCATAAAAATTTAATTGAACTCATAATAGGGTAAAGAAAAAAAAAACCTAAAACTTCTTCCAAATTAATCACAAAACTGTTTTGCCTACTCTTTTAGTGTATAAGCAGCCTTATGCAAAATATGCAAATACTAATTCTCTAGGAGGTGGTTAATTTTCATGTTAACTCATTGCTCCAAATATACAATTGAATGCAGAAGACTAAACAAGCTAACAAGCAGTTTCTCTTTTCATGATTAGTTAAAATTTAAAGCCTTTGGGAGAGATATAACACTGACTTCCACAAAACTGACTTCCACATATACTTACAAGTCTAATCATTTTAGCTGACTTAAGATTACATGCTACATTCTCCTTAAGTAGAATTGTTTTTGAAGTTTCGAGCTGTGAAGACATCTCAAATTGGTTTTAAATTATAACTGAAAAGATGCTACTGCTGTTCATATACTTAAAAGTTCACAAATTCATCTCTCTTCCACAGACCGGTGTCGTTTTTTTCTACTAAATCCAAACAATAATGCAGATAATATTTTAATATGAAGATAGTTCTGGTGGCAAAAACAAAAGCCAAAAAAAACCCCAACAATAACCAGGAAATGTTTTGTTGCAAGTCATGTACTTGTTGTAAAAATTAAAATAACAGTATTAAAGAACAAATTAAACAGAAAACTTGAGCCAAAGTGAGATTCATGGTATTTGAAGTCAGGTATCTTATACATTCTCATAATGTAAATTCTAAGAGTAGCTTATTTTCCTGTGATTTCTAGGTTAGTAAAGTCTAAGAAATGAGTAGCCTATGGCATCATAAAGAGAAATTCAAACATGATCTCTAGGTCCTCAGATGCTTTCTTTACAAACCAGGACAGAGAAGTGAGAGATTAGGAAGAAACACTGTCAGGAGAAAATTTTACAGTGGTAGGTGCCAGAAAATCTCAACTAAACTAGCTCATTACTACTATGTTAATTAAAACCAGAATTCACACCTGAATCAGTCACTATGAAGTTTTATTTTGTAATATTTAGTCTAGAGTTTTTTGAGCCTCTGATAGGTACCAAGGATGGTTCAAATTACTGATATGACTCCTCCATGTGAAGATCAAAACTAAAATCTAGTCCTGACTCAAAACAATTATCCAGCAATTTGCCTTAGGGTAAGGCAGTTTACCTCTAAACCTTTACCTCCTCTCTTTCTTAGTATACTGCCTTACTTCACAGAGAAAATTTGGTATTGAACTCCCTGAACTCCTAACTTCCAAGTCTATGAAAGAATGAGCCTCTTGCAGCTATTCTCATCTCTTTTCTCCTAGTGTCAGAGGAAAAGAGGCCTTCTGTTGAAGATTAATCCCTCCATCCATCCTCTCGGGGATATCTTTAAAGCTCTTCCAAATTCTACGTTCAAATTCTTTACTATTTACCCATAGGCTAGAAGCGCAGACCCTTCTACTTTAGTACAAAAATAAAAAGCAAACAAAACCTCCCCCTATGATTCCATGATTTCCCTAAGTTTCATTAAAAGCTAAATACCTTAAAAAAAACAGCACACAACTGCTGTCCACACACCTTGACCGTTGACTCTTCAACCAGTTACAACAAAGCTTGTTCTCCACTGTAAGACTAAATCTGAAGTTGAGGTCACACAGGACCTCAAATGATCAAATTCAGCAGATTCATTTAGGCCTCCATCTGACACGTCCACCCTTCTCCTCTGTTTCTGAAAAGCCGTCTTCTCTTGGTTATCCTGCCAGTCTAGCCATTCATTAGTGCTGTCTGCTAGAGCCACTGAGCCCACTTCTTCCCTCATGTCACATGGTTACCCTGGACACGAATATTTGTTTTCATCACTTCATCTGCCTTCTAACGCTGATATTTCTTAAATCTAAAACTCATTCCCTGACCAATAAGCTAATCTTTCTCCACTGTTTACTTTCTTAGGGAGAGCTACACTCTCCACTGAGCTACCCAAGCTAGAAAGCTGGGCCTTATCCTAGACTACTCCCCATGCTCCACAGGAGGTTACTGCAGCTTGTACTACTCCTACAGTCAAGCCAGTCTTTCCAGTACTGTCAAAATAATAAAACTACACCTGCTCTTATCCAGTTTTGGAAAGCCATTAAGAAATAACTGTATATTAAAAAATTATTTTTAAAAACTTTTTCAAATAACAGAAAACCAGTATTCTACTCAAATCTCAACTTAATTTTTTCCTCTTCATGATAAAAATATCCTAACATTTTTGTTTTTTTAAAATAGGAGATTTAAAAAAATTATCTTCTCTGGATTTTCTGTTTTAAAATCTTTAAAACAAAACGTTTTCGGGCTGGCCCTGTGGCTCACTCGGGTGTGAGTGTGGTGCTGGTAGCACTGAGGCCGTGGGTTCGGATCCTATATAGGGATGGCCGGTGCACTCACTGGTTGAGTGTGGTGCTGACTACACCATGCCAAGGGTTGCGATCCCCTTACCA